TAGAAAACCGGGTAAGATTGAGGAAGCAAGAACTATGCAGAGTTCAATAAAGTATCTTTAATGCCAGTCTTTGAACATTCATTTATAGAGGATTCATTAAAGGTGAGTCTCTTTGAAGGATCTTTTTCCCAAGTTTCTAGCCACTTAGACTGACCCACTGGTTATAAGATATGCTCCCAATGGATCTGTTTAAGATTGCTGATGTGTGCTCTCCCTGCCTGTACTTTTCCAGCTTCCTCTCAATCATTCACATCTGTATTCACCCTGAGAAAGGGATTAAGGTTACTCGGTTAATTATGGCATTTTTATTTTGCCCTTTGAAAATTAACCCCTTGACTCTGTGTGTTTATCTCTGTCTGGACATATATGTGTATAAAGAAGAGTACAAATAAAATAGGATAGGAGGGAAGGCCTCAGGCAGAAAAGTCTGCAAAGGGCATCTCATGATTTGGCTGATACTCCAAAGAAAAAAATAATCTACATCAATCAGTCCAACCTCAGAAGTTGTTATGATTCTCTAGTAAGCCAAGAGCCGAATTCCTATTTTTTTTCTAAGTCAAGAATAGTGAAAGCAATACAGAAGTTAACACCTGCATCAGGCTATTTTCAAAACATTTGACTATCACATGGGCATCCAACAGATGTCATACTCTAATTCCTCTGCATGGCAGAAAGGATAAAATCCAATTCATATTTCCATTTATAAAAGTAATTTTTCCAATAGAATTTGAAGAAGGAAACATTTCTTTCTCCAAGCAGACTCCCACTTATTCCCAAAATATGTTTGGAGTATCGCCCATGTCTCAAAAGCTGATCTGGGGGGCTATAGAAAGAAGGGAAATGAAGAACCACTGTGAAATGAAATCCACTAATGTGACACCAGGTTTCACCCAAAGTCCAGTTTAAGATACACAAGACAGGAAATCAAGAAAGTGTGCTAGACACTATATGGGTAAGTCTCTGTATATTACCAGTTTGATCCTGATACACCAAGCCAGACATGAAAAATATTTCTACACAAATGCATCCGTAGAATCGGATCAATATGTTACTGTTCTCCTGCTCTGTTCCCTGTACAGTAGACCTGAAAAGTGAAAATGACACAAGTTTGGACTGAGCTAAAATGGTTTAACCACCAAAATATGTACACGTGTGGAGCAACATACAAATTAAGGACTTAAATAGCCACATACCACAGTTTGTTTTTTCTAACACTATATCATTTGGTACACACCAGTTTTCAATGACAGATGGTAGGGACTTTTTAAAAGACAACCATAATTCTTGGTAAGTCATACCCTTCTTGAACTATCATTTACAACCAAGTATTTGCTAATGAAAAAAAAAAAAACCCTAATTCTTGGTAAGTCATACCCTTCTTGAACTATCATTTACAACCAAGTATTTGCTAATGAAAAAAAAAAAAACCCTAATTCTTGGTAAGTCATACCCTTCTTGAACTATCATTTACAACCAAGTATTTGCTAATGAAAAAAAAAAAACCCTCTGCAAATATATGAGGAAAAATATGTGAATTCTATTATTAGAAAGAGGAAAGAACAGAAATTTAAAAAGCAAGTACTACAGCAGGGCACAGTTATGCCATATCATTGACTCATAAGAGGAAACTGAAATATAAATACACAAAGGCCAACTGTGGCATATATATTAAGTGTATTTCACAATGACCGCCCCCTCTTATCTTTTAAAATGTTTGTTCCATATCAATGACCATATTTTCTTTGAGATTTATAGATGGGTTTCACTGCCCTTCTATAATTATACAAAGTTAAAACACACACACACACACACAAGAATTTCCTTTAAATATTTCCTTCATTGCATAAATCATTTGTTTTTCAAGGACTAAAACTCAGTGTAATGAAAGTGAATAAGGAATTATTTATACATTACCCTACAAATATCTTTGAATAGTGCTTAAGTATACATTTGTTCTATAATTAAACTACCTATTTTTATATTATTATTATTATTATTATTATTATTATTATTTTGCCATAGGTTATGACACTCCACCTTTGTTACTTGTTAAACACAAACTAGAACTGGCTCTTCCAGTATTAATGTTTAGGAGTATGACCAAACTGGATTATTGTTTCCAGTGCACAAATATTTGTTTCTCTAAAGTGCTGCCATCATACCATCTGTATGCAGTGGTGGACAATGATTGAACAATAAACAGAAAAAACAACATTAGTGCTCAAATAAATAAAGCATTTCTTGAACGAAGGGACAGTAGATTTTGTAATAGGCTTTAGCATACATCCAAGAGCAGCAAATTTCATAAAAGTGGGCATCCATAACATAATACCTATATACTTTTATCATCTGCAGAATATGATACAGCCTTATAAATTATACAGAATGAAGAAAGAATGAATAAGCTAATTTTACTATCTATGGTACAATAGCTGAATCTAGAATCATCTGTGGAAGCTGAATGATGTCAGATGCAGGATAGATAAAAGAATGTACTTCTGGCAGCACATAACTGAAGTTGCCTATCACAAGATGCATAGCTTTAAAAAGATGATTAGACTGATTCACAGAAGTTTGCAGTAAGAGTATTCACTGCCTTCAAGATCAAAATAATGTGGTATTATTTTGATAATAATAGGGATCAGTAGCTGGTGGTTATTGAACTCATAACTTGTTGGCAGGCTTTCCAGTCAACTGAAGTGGAAAACAGAATTTAGTGTTAGGCAGGTGTTTGCTCTGATGCAACAAGACAGTTAATTTGCAACAAGCCAGTTTTCATCCAGTAGCTACAGTTACATTGCTCAATATTTTGAGGGAATATGTAGTAGATTCTTGATAAGGTAGTTTTACACATTCTAGGTATATATTTCCTCACCCATATACCCCAACTAACTATTTTCATTCTAAATGTTGAACAGATCAATCCTATCAAGCTTTAAAAAGTCATATTTATTAAGGGACAGCAAGATAGGAAAACAAACAATTAAATGATGAACTTTATTTCTAGTTGGAACAAAAATAAGCATTTGTACATATTCATATACTGATATGGAGCACACATACATGTATATGTTTCTATGGCTCCAAGGTTAGAAACTGTTTTAATTCTCCTGAATCCAGTGTGTTTCTTTTAACAGCCATTTATACACTGTTCTGTCAGGGTGCTTATTAAGTGACAACAACAAATATGAAGGCTGGGTTCACAATTGCACTAAGCTGCCTTCAAGGTGACTTTATTATCTATCTAACCTCACATTACATTTTCAGCTTGTTATCGTATGACAGGTAGTGATGCTCTCAAGTTGAGCTTGACTCTTGTCAAACACAATCATACAGTTGTCTTGCAATAGAATAGAAGCAGTTTGCCTTTTCTTCCAGGATATTTTTCTACTTCCCACTCTAGCCTAGAGCCCAGATATTTCTCTGTGGTCTCTTATCCAAGTAAGAACCAGTCCTGACATTACTTCTCTGCCCTAATAAGGTCACCCAGATGCTGCTACCTGCTATCTTATAGTCATTTTTTATTCCTCCAATCCATTCCTCCATCTAAACCAATAAGATTTAGATAAATATTAAAGAACCCCCCCCAAAACCTCCTTATTTCTGATTAAAATTGAGCTGTTCTAAGAGTTGCATCATCAACTCACAGGATTGTCAATGATAAGTTACATTTCTCAGATCCTAACCCATAAAGTCAAAATATTTATATTTTCCCATGAGACTTAAAAAGTGCCTAGAATTAGATGCTAGAAAGTGAGAAATACAGTCATTGGCCTTGAGAGATTTAATTTTGAAAATAGCTGATGCTTGTGAATGAACTTAGCCATTCCAAAAAGGTTTAATGGTTTACATTTGTATAGATTCTGTTGTCATATTTGTGTTTTCTCAGAAACGTTTTTCATTTCTTAGGCTGAGAAGTCACATTTTATGTCTGAAATTTTAGGCACTTAAGATTATCAAAAAGCCTCTTCATCACGTCACCTTTGGCATTCTTCCATCATCCCAAAAACATCTCTAGGATTTGAAGAGATTTTTTTTACATGATGTTCTTCCTGATATATATATATTTTCTTATTGTCCCAGGCTTCTACATGCTGTTCAGTTTTAATGATAATATTTACTGTTCTGCCATTATAAGTTTATATTGGACCAGATCCAGATTATATCAATTGAACCTAATTCCATTCAAATTACCAGAAGTCATGAGTGCACTTTTGATTTCAGTAGTAACTAAATCTGACTAATCCAGGCTGAATCTGACACATTGTTTTTATCCTTTTATCACTACTGTAAGTTGCTCTGGTTTTGTTAAACAAACACATATTATTACACATTTTATGACTGTGATTTTGCAAAGGTGGTTATTTTGTTGTTGTGTACTAATTTAGTCTGTCTTTGTTCCTTTCTAAAGGATGGCCAATTAGTTGCTTAAATAAGTGCATAATTCAATTCTTAAGTGAAACAACTCCCTCCCATTTTCAACATAAATTAGTAAGGGTCATCATTCTACCAACCACACCCAACTTCCATTTTGAACTTGATTAATACAGCATCTTCAACTCATGTGTATTAAGAGATGGTTACTGCAATGAGTATTCAAAAATTGCTGCTTTCTATGCTTTCTCAACCTTACCCAACTAGTTAGACCATTTTAATGAAGGTATTTGTGTGCATGCTTTAAAACAGACAAACAAAAAGAAAATGACCAGGTGCGATCAAGGATTTCTAACAGCTGTTCAGATCTCAAGGCACACACATCTTCTCACTCTTAAATAACCGCACGAAAACTTCCACACCATCATTAAAAAGTGCACAAAGTTCCTTTGCAGGCCGCCCTCCTATAGAGAGGAGGTGAAACACTGCTACTGTTTAAACTAGTTTGGGGGTTGCGAGCCAGAATCTAAGACATCTGATCAACCCACGAGAGGATCCGCCGCCGCCATTTCCAACATGCTCTGAGACCGAAAGGATGAAAAGCACGCTGAAGTCCGGCCACGTACCTTGCGTTGGGCGCTGGTATCATACTTATCATTCCGGAAGGCTTGAGCGTTCTGGTGCCGTTGAGCTCGTGTGCGGGACACATTTCCTCTTTGCGAGCTCATCTTCCATGCCGCTCTCTTCGCCCGGAAGCAAACCGGCTCCTCGCATCCGGGGAAGAGGTTGGCTGAAGCGCCTCAGGTTACCACGAGCGGCGGAAAAGCTGCGATTGGCTTCAACGCGGAAGGTCCCGCCTTCCCGCCAGGGAGCCTGATAGCTGCACGGAGCAGACGGGTGCAGTTTTATTGGTCGGCTCCCGAGGGCTGCCGGTCAGAGAGGCTTAAGTCCCGCCCCTCGCTTCGCTCGGCAGTCGTCTATAGCTCAGCTTCTTTCCGTCGCCTTGCTCTGTTTAGTCTCACGGGAAGCGGGTTGGATTTTTACACGGAACGAGCCCTGGAGCTTCTGCCGCGCTCTGGCTTTGTCTTTTTTCGGGGCCGGCCGCCGCTGACGGGAGGAAGGGAGGGACTTGAGCCGGCGCTTTAGGCCGTCGCCCGGCGTTGGAGCCTCGGCGGTTGCTCAGCTTAACTGAATCCTTCAGCTTTCGAACGGCGGCGCTCCAAGAGCCTTGGCAGGAACGGCGCCGCCACCCTGCTAGGCAGTTGGACGTGGCCGTGCGCTCTCTGCGGAGCGCGAGTTCGGAGGTGAGCGTCCTCTCTGTCGCCTGGGCCTGGGAAAGGGGGCACTGCTGGAGATGGTGGTCTCAGGCTTCGCCAGCCGTCCCTGCCCGAAATAAAGGGGAGGGGGGTCTGCTTAT